GTGCAAAACCATTAAGATGTTATCTATATAAATTAATGCATGGATGTACATGTGCATACATCTATGTATACCATATACTAGCTAAGGGCCCATCAATCATGAAGTGCTGGGTAAGGTCGGTCCTTTTCCTATGCTTATGCACCACTTCTAACTAAATCCTTTACTACTCCATTCCCACTCACTACTACCCCCTATTTTCTGAGCAGAGAAGCAGGTAAGGGGTTGTTGGTTGTGGGAATGAATTAAGAAAGCCAGCCTGCTTTTCTAGACCAGAGTCTATTCTGACAAGTTCACCAGATGCTTAGGGGTGCCTTGTGGGGAAAATCAGGTGCAGAGCAGACACTCTGCCTCAAATTGGGCAGGCCATCATGAAAAGAACAAGGATTTTTACGCTACCTCAAAAGACTAATACATTTGTTACAGCAGAAGCTTTCCTGTATTGAAGTACCCATCATCAGTTGCATGGAGCATTTTTCTCAGTTGGCAGGCATATAGGTGCAAAGAAAGAAAGGTCAGAGGGAAATTAAATGGGAGAAAAAAATCAAAGTGTGACAATTATGTCAAAGCTTAGATGTATGTACAGTGAACTCAATGTCCTTTCAAAGTGCACATTTTATTCTCTTGAACAAACACAGCCCTGGTATCCAGGCCAGGTCTTTTGTTTTAAACTAGCCTGTGAAATATAATAGTTGCCCTGATCTCTGCTTTTAAGAAATCAGCTCACCAACAGTGTTTACATTTGAAATAGGAAGGACTTTGGCTTTGATCAGCACAGGAAGAACAAAAGTACAATTAGTCCTAAACTGAAGCGTCGATTGTAGCTTTTTCCCACCTGCACCAACCCCTCTTTTCGTCTACAATAAACAGACACATTGTCTGTGGATTCCAGTGCCATTGGCTGTGTCTATATTTGTATTAATTGCTGAGAACTGCAGACATTTATTTAAAAAAAATATAAGTTGGAACTTGCCAATGGTGACTTCATCTCTTGGGATTGCTCCGAATCACAGGCTTTAGTGCATGTCTAGGACAATTGCTCACTGTGCTTTAGATAAGTAATTCTTTTCAACTGGTTACTCCACAATGACATGAAAATTGTGGAATCCAATTTTCCCATTGGGATATTGTAATGGAGTCTATTGGCCTTGGAAGATCTCCCTTCCTTCCCCTGTTTCAGTTAACGTGCAAATATAATTTACCTCCTATTTATAGTTTCATGACCCATTTCATTCTCAGCCAAGATGTCTTTTGAGTGAGATGATTTTAAACGAGATGAACAATTAAACTCTAATGGCCTGCAAAAGCTTTAGGCACTACAAACCACTGTGCATCAACTTGAACTCCTTAGCTGTTTAATTAGGAAAGGCTAGGCCAAAATCCGATGTGAAATCCAGCAAGTTTGGGGTGGTGGAGGAGCGGGGACCTAAGTGAAGAGAGTTTGGCTTACAAAGTTTAATCTGCTCTACTCTTTATTAAAAACTTGGGAAGTAACTTTAAAAATAAATTAAATGCAAATTAGTACAGTGGTACCTCGGGTTACATACACTTCAGGTTACAGACACTTCAGGTTACAGACTTGGCTAACTCAGAAATAGTACCTCAGGTTAAGAACTTTGCTTCAGGATGAGAACAGAAATCGTGCTCCGGCGGCGTGGCAGCAGCAGGAGGCCCCATTAGCTAAAGTGGTGCTTCAGGTTAAGAAGAGTTTCAGGTTAAGAACGGACCTCCGGAACGCATTAAGTACTTAACCTGAGGTACCACTGTATTTGTATCCTTTCATACAAAACAATTTCCAGTGCTTGCTCCTTAAATACATACATACATAACTACCTACCTACCTATAATCTATCTCCTGGTACTTCCATCTGACTGCCTCTCAACACATGCACAAGTTTTTCCTAAAGGGAACTTTTTTTTCTCCTTTAAAGGACTATGTGCCTTTTGTCTTCTGTCAGATTTCTAGGAAGCTTCCCCCCCACCCTGCCCAAAGAAATTCATTTTAAGGAGTATGTCTTCATGTATATGCAGAATATTTCCTACAAGAGTGTCATATTTGTTTGAAGGAAGGGAGGGAGGAAGGAAGGGACTACAATGAAACCACTGGGCTTATTCAGCTTGATCCAGACCAACCATGAACAGAGTTGTGCTCATGCCCACATGCTGAAGGGGAGGAAGGTGAATTGTGCAGATTCCTCCTGTTTGTAAAGCCCCAGGAAAGCTGCTGTGGGTGACTGGGGGACCCTCCATGTGGGAGGTGACATGGGGACTCTTTTGGGAGGAAGTGCAGAATAGAAATTTAATAAAGAAACAAACAAATAAAAAACGGATAATACTGGGGGAAATTACCTCCATCCCACTTGTGGTGGGGGCCTCCACTGTATCTCAGTCATTTGTGCAAATGGAAGGAACCATTCCATTTGTAGGTGAACACACCTTGATTCAACCATAGTTATTTTCTGCCTTCCATTCTGGCAACTGGCAAGGAGGATTAAATGCTCACTCAGCCAGTGAAATGTTGGCCAGCTGTCAGTCCTACTTTATGGCTCCTAAGTGCCAATATCATCAAGCCACAAAGAGAAGGATTTGTTGCTGCTATACCACAGATGTGGAACTCCCTTGAAACTTAAATACCACAAGTAGGGATCATTGTGCATTTTGTTCAGTCCCCATTTTAAATCAAACAATCCTAACAGCACTTCCCAAACCAATATATGGATCAGAACAGCTTTCTCTGATTTTTGTGTTGCAGTTCTCTGTTGAGAAAAGTACCAAAATACATTTTAAAATGTGCATTTTAGGTTAAAGGAGTAATTTTTGGATACATACTTTACATAAAGTGCAGATTTTTCATGTGGTTTAAAAATGGAAAGATAGTGTGGAAACATGTCTGAATGGACTTACGGACATAGGAATGAACACGTGTGAAACTGTCTCAGACTGGAAATAATGATCTGCCCATCTCTACTCACAACTACATCAGCCTAAGAACAACAGAAAGGAAAAATGAAGATAGTACTAAGTGGTAAGGACAGGTTCTATAGAGAAAAGAAGGGTGGGGGGAGAAACACCATTCATTTTCCAGACAGCTAATTGTCTGGCTAATAGGAAAGTTCATGCGGAGTCTAATAAAAGAACCTGTTTGGCATGGAACCATTGCTTAGATTTATGTTATGGTTAACAAGCTTACTACCACACAAGGCAAATCACCCTATCATCATTCACTGATTACATAGCAGGGGCTCCAGCAGATTAATGAGTGCCAAATACATAGAAGCAATAATTGGGCCAGAGAAAAAGCAGGAAGTGCATTGAGAATGAAAAGCGGAGTGGGAACTCCTGTGAGGTCTCCTCCCACAGTCTCCCTCGGCAGCACAAAAGCACACTGTTTTGAGAGTTAGTGTTTCACTAACAGAGCGAAGGCCAGGAGAAAATCACATGTGATTTAGTAAGTCTGGCAAAGCACCACACACACACACACACAGAGAGAGAGAGAGAGAGAGAGAGAGAGAACAATCAAACTAAAATTAAGCATTATTCCCATTGAGTTTAATTGAATATATTCAAGGAACCATGATGGGAATGTTGCAGCTCCACTGTTGGGCGGTAGGATGCTTCCAAATACTATTTGCTGGGAATCACACATGGGGATGATGCTGTTGCCCTCAGGTCCTGCTTGCAGGCTTACTGTAGGCATCTGGTTGGCTACTGTAAGAACAGGACTCTGGGCTCATGGGCTTGGGCCCTGATCCAGCAGGGCTCTGATGTTCTTGATGTCAGCGGCACTTGAACACATAACTTTGCTAAATGTCCAGGTGGGAAGGATGACCCCCCCACACACACTTCCCCTTCCAGCTGTAGATCACCTGAACAGCAACTGTGCTTTACAGCAGGTCATCAATGCAGACCTCCCTGCTCGCTCGCTAGCATTCAAAGGAATACATAAGAGGAAAACCAGGCCACTGGTAGCTTGTTAAAAAGTGAGAATCCACACTAGATAAAACGTGGAGCCCAAACAAGAGTGAAAAGAAGCAAGATCAAGCAGACAGTGAGTAGAGATTGTTTCTCCCCTGAGAATACTCCAGTAACACTCTTGGCTTCATTCATGCCGTTTTACGCATACTATATTCAAAAGTGACAGTGTATGTGGGTCATACTGTACCACTACTGCCCCTTTTCTATGCATGCATCCTATAAGTATTCCAGCAAGTTTGTTAGAGTTGCTAGATCCAACTTTCATTACTAACGGACACCCCAGATTGATGGAGTGAAGTAAGGGAAATTTTATCTCCTTTGATGGAGCTGAGACTATTATGAAGGAAGGAACATTCCTTTAAAACCCTGATCTTTCTATAGGTGATCCTCAAGCAGAACCCATCTCACAGAACCTCTTCAGGTGGCCTACAGTGCCTCTGCTTGCACTTGAGAAGTTTCTACAAGGTTGTAAGGAAGAACACCAGATTTCAGTTGACCAACGGGCTATAATCACTTCCCATGCACCTATGTACTCTTCTACAGCTTGTTATTTCCTGCAGGATAGCTTGGTTGGTAGAGCATGAGACTCTTAATCTCAGGGTTGTGGGGCTCAGCCCCACGTTGGGCAAAAATATTCCTGTGTTCCCTTGTGTTCCCTTCCAACTTTAGAATTCTGCAGATCTATGTACTGGCAAGAAGTAGCCCAGGTAGAGAGGCTGTGGGTTTTATTTCATTACAGATTTCCCGAATTTATCTGCATCTTCCACCAGATGGAGCAGAGGAGTCAAGAAAAACAGCTTTACAAAGACTCTTTTGTTACTTGTAACTTGCCTTAACAATTAGGTAAGACAGTGGCAAGGAGACTTTTGTTCTTTCCCCACAGGGACTTTGAAAACATGGAAGCGGAGACTGGAGATGCTTGACCTTTCCGGTGTGGCTAGCGAGAACGGCTAGAAGAAATGGTTTTTAGTCACCAGCACAGCAGCTTCAGGCAATCTGGCCTACAAAATGTTGAATAAAGGCAGCAATTAGAGCATATTTTCAATCTTTTATTCTTTTTGATCAAATTGGAAATCACAAAAAAATATAATAAATCCCATGGAGACACAATGTCCAGATCACCCTCACCTCACAGAATCTGCACATAATTACGGACTTTTAAAAGCTAGTTCTAGTAATGCTGTTATTTTCTTACATCACTGACAGGGGCTAAACATTTTTTTTTTTTAAAGCACAACTTGCTTCTATAGAATTCTAAAAAAATTATACTTTCCTTTTGTAGTTAACTCACATAGACAAGCCTTTGGAACGTAAACAAGTATTGTTGCATGATGTTTCTTCATATCAAAAATATCAGTGCCTCTGTCAACAGTCAAATGGAATGCTTAGCAAATACGCAGTTCCTATGGTCAGATCATAAATTAAGTAGAACCTTATTTATACCTGCACTACACCACTCCTATGCTTACAGGAGCATTGGACAACGTGAGAGCAAACACATACACTGAGAGACATTCGGTGCTTGATATGTGCCGAATGCAGAGACATTTGTTTGAAATAACCCACACATTCTATAAAGATATGTAAACAGTACGGCAGATTAAAAAAACAAAAACAAAACAAAAGCCACCACTACAGTCAATTAAGATCTGAAATGGCCAATCAATGCTTCTTCATTATTTCCCTATTATCCCTGAGCACCTTAAAAATTGCCCCCCCAATATCTCTAGGAAGGAAGTGTAACCTAGCAAGACCGCAAGAGTATGTCCCAGTCACAACTAGTCGTCTTACCAGTTTGGCACTGCTGAGCACAACTAGAAATGCACACACACTGTTCCTGGAAAAGGCCCCACTTACAAAAGATGCTTGTGTGATAATTGTGGCAGATCTGTCATTCAGACGCCACACACTACCCTGTTCTGGCAGATGTCCGATTAGCCATGCAGAGCAGGAGTGAGCAGTGCAGGCTGATGTCTGCTTAGTACGTGGACTATAAGGACTGAAAGTGCACTTAATCTCACCTGGTTCCTGAATTAAGTGCTGTGCACACAAGTGCTATAACTGCACCTGAAGAGGCTTGGGGCAGAGTCCACTGGGACCACAAAGCTCTGTCTGTTTCCATGGAACTTGCGCCTGATGGATCCATTGCACCTTCCTTTCATCCTCACCCTCCAATTTTTAAAAGCCATTTCACATATAATATTCTTCAAAAATTAAAAAAAATGCAGAAATCACCTTGTCAGGGGGAAATCACTATCAAACCTACAGATTACAAAAAAGATTGCATAGGAGTATCAAATGGGCATAGGTACATCAAATGGAGAGAAAACGCTCTTCTTTTCGTTTTCCATAACAGAATATGGCAACAATGATGTCATTTATTTTTTTCCTTTTAAAAATCAAATGATCTCACTTTATTTCAAAATTGTACAAAATGGCAAATGGCTGTTTGTAAAAAAAACCAAAGTCTCTCTTTTTAAAAAGATGTGGAATCCCAGGCATTGTACCAGTGGCCCTGAGACCATTCACAGTGCAGTGGAAATCATCGTGTGAGGCAGAAATTACAACTCATCTTTCCTCTTCCCTATCTTTTCATGGTCCCGTTCTCTGAGCGTCCGCATGAAAGTCGAGAACCCGGACTCCTAGAATGTGAGAGGTAAAGAAAGGCATTGGTTGCATAGTGAAACTGGAACTCTAACACATCTTCTACAGGCAAATGGACATGCAGTAGTGCAGGCAGAGGTAAAAGGAGCAGGTAAGGCAGGTCCTTGTATTTATATGACAAGTGACCATTTTGTCACAAACTGAACACTTCCCTTAAGTAAAAGCAACACTCTACAGCATCATGGTTGCTCTGAATGGATGGATGGGGTCAGAGTGGGAGTTAAGTGCTTCACCACTCTTCCAGAATCCTAAGTGGACACAGCTATGTGAAGGATGCATGGTGTACACTGCTGCTGCTGCCTTCCTCTCCCCTGGCTCACTCTTGCCACACAACTTCCCCCAATTCTAGTCTGCTAACACCCGCCCCTGGTCTTGGCTCACTATTTTCAAAAGCCTCCTGCCTCCACCACTAGAAACTGTATAATCTTCCTTCCTCAGAGTGGTAATCTCACAGTTCAGTCCCCACACTGCCCACACCTGGTCATATGTCCTTCATTATCTCAGTCCCCTCTTAAAAGCTTCCTCTGCTGCCGAGCCATTTTTGAGATGGAATAATCACTACAAGGAAAAGCTTCCAGCTAAACTCATCAGATGATTAAACCGCCTTGTGAAGGCTCCCCAATGTGAAAATACTTGAAAGGTGTAACCACATTCTGAAACAAGTCATTACTAAAAATGAACATGAAATTTGCAGGGCAGGGGAGTTCTGCTGTTATTCTGCCATGTCTGTGAGAATTCTGCAGCAAAGTACTGTGCCTTTAATCTGCAGCATATTGTCTCTTTGTAAGTGATCAAAATAATGAGGTCATGCTCCCAAAACAGTGAGAGTTTGAGCCAAACTACCACAGAAGTCTGTAAGCTTTTCCATTAATTTCCAAGGGCTTTAGATTAGACCTGACAACTCATCTGATCTATTTGGGCACATGATGCAGAGGGAATGGAACCACTGCTATTCTGTCGGCTGCATCTGTCAATTTTAATTCAGAATGTTCTGCACCACTAGTTGCGAAATTTGAGATCCTAGTAAACACCCCAAAGAACTAGCTTTTGATTAGCAATGTACCTGCTATTACAAGTGTTATCCGAAACACATTATCCAGCCCAGTGAAGCTGTGTGTGATGTTTCTTTCTCCATTTCTAACAAAATGTCCAATACCCAAGTAACTGTTGAAAAGGATATATAACCACAATTAAAATAAGCTCCCCCACTCTTTTTTAGTGCTCCACTTCAAGATGTGTTTAGCAGGTCCTGTTTTCAACACAGTAACATTGCATTGGTCTGTTATCTGCCTTTCTCCAGGCTCACTGCAGTGTAGAAGCAGTCTGGGATCCAAAGAAGTTTAGGTGCATGGATTTATTGAACAGCAGCCACCATCACATGGTCAATTATTACTTTTAAAACTGAAGGGACCATTAATACTGCTGTACGATATGGGGCCTGTGGCTCAAAGACTGGGGGTGGTATCTAGTGGTGACTGAGAGAAGGAATTCATCAGCAAAACAACCAGGAATGTAGTCTTCAGCAATTTCCCCTTCCTCCTACACCTCTCTTAAATCTATTCTGAATGGTTGAAAGACCTCAGATACGGTAAATATTCTACTGGGCCTGCCCTGTGCCTAAAGCAAGATACCTCTTTGGAGCCCTGTAAGACAGATGAGCCAAAGTGAGTGCCATGAGTCCCACTGACTTCACAGGGAACGTTCTCTTTCACTGCATATGAGAAGCCCAGACTACTTTTTTAAAATGAGAGCTAGTAAGAGATTGTATCCTTATTTGCAATGTAATAAATACAGCCTTGCAACATATGAGTACAATGACAGTATATTAGCAGTTTGCTGCTGTACCAAAGATGCACTGTTAGACTCTCAACAGGGATAACACTACCTAACATAAGCTGAAATGTTGGCCTAGGAGGAAAGAGATTGGGGGGAGGGCAAGTTGCTCATCGCCACAAATGGAAATATTTTTAAACTGACGAAAGGATTTAACAAAATCTCCAATTTCCCAGTAAGCACTTGGCAGTTACAGTCTCCTCTGAGCACATAGGTTCCAGCTGGGTAGAGGGAGGCAGCCCTCTGCTAGTAATTGAGAGAATGAAGATGCAGAGGCACTCTGTGCTAACTCAGATGTTAAGAAACGAAAAGGACAATTGAACACTAGGACAACTAACCAGATTCCCCACCCCCAAAGTGTGATTTTGAAAGAGCAAGATTATACTTGTTTTTTTCTTCCTCAGCCAAACAAACAAGATCTGTTGTTTTTCATAAATCCCTTTACTTTTGTAAGCGCATTTATAAAGCCAAAGAGATGTGGCTTAAACTCAATTCCCTCTTATTTATATTTAGGCGGATAAAGCTTCATTCTAAAAGCAAAGCACAACACTTGATCCATAACAAAGTTTACAGAATGGCTTAGTTCATTAAGGATCAAATTGTGGAGGTGTTATCCTGACAGAATTCCCACATGAACAACCTGTAAAAAGGCCTCAACGAAGACCCATAGGATCGTACCACAAATCCTCTCTTTCTATATATCTACAGATTTTTTGTACCAGCAGCAATAATATTGCAGCCAAATGTTTCTCAACAACGTTTACCGGCCATATTAATATACAAAACAATCTTTCCCATTAGGTCCCCATCTTCTCCAGGCAATTATTAATAACCTAGCTATGGACCTTTAAACTGAGCATTCTCGAGTAGCTGGTAAACTTTTGTCTCCTCCATTTCAAGCAGTTCAAGTGAACTGGTAATAATCTATCTCTGCAAAACCTGAAATGTAAGGAGACATCAAGGTCACAAGCTAAAGGTGACCAGTGCAAACTGCCCAGAAAATGTGGGTTTTGGTCACAAAACCAAACCAACAAACAATCTATTATCATTTGGCTGTGTGTAGTGAATTTCCAAATGTGTACAGGGCAACCAAAGGCTTAGATTCCTAATGAATATGGAGAGCCCATTGGAACAGCTTCTGCACTACATTGGCTAGGAGTTGATGTGGAATTGGCAGACGTTCAATTTTTGCATTTTCATTAGTGCTAAATTTTTAATAAATTATAAGATTCAAAATAAAAGCCTCCAAAATTTTCTACTGAGTTAATTCCAGATGCTAAATGCATGCATTATGTGTGGAATAAGGTGACACAGTCATGAGGAATTCATAATGGAAGCATTAAACTCATTGGCAAAATAACTGGCTCTGTATTGTGTCCCTGTTGTTGCTGCTGGTGATTTTACTGTTTGCTGATGAAACCACTTAAAAAAGTTACTCCCTCCCCACACCAGTACATCTTTAGAACAGCACCATGTACTTACCCCTCTGTCTCCATTATATTTTTCTATAAATTTTCCATAGTTGTAGTAGTTAAAGGTTGGGTAACCATCCACACCTTCCTGCTTACACAGGTCATGGTTCTGTTCTTTGGCACAGTCCACTGCAGCATAGGCAATCTAGCACAGGAAGGAAAAGCAGATCAGCTGTCACCAAGTGTGATCCCATTCTATGGCACTCAGATACTTTAAAAATGAAACATATGCAGTTTCACATAAACTAAGACAGTGTTTCCCAACCTTTTTTGGGCAAAGGCACACTTGTTTCATGAAAAAAATCTCGAGGCACACCACCATGCCAGATGGGGAAAGGTCACTTTTTACTTATGTAAAAAAAAATAAAAAAATAGTAACAGCATAGAAGGTAATGGTAGATGACTGTTAGGGTCTCCCCCCAAATGCAGAATTCTATTAATATCTTCCTTAGCGAGCCGCGTTAACCCCTGTAATGCTTTGTATAGAGTAAGCATAGGGGACACTGGGGGATGTGGAACCAAGGGGGCAGTGGGCCAAAAGAGTTCGGGATCTACTGCTTTAAACAGAAATAAGAGCCAGTGGGTTCTTCCTTTTTTAAAGTATCGTTTCAGCGGGGACAGCAGTCCAGATTTCCAAAAAGCGGCGCTTTTTTGCGTCTGAGCAAAGAAGAGAGAGAGGGGAAAAAAGAGAGAGAGATTGATTTGTGGCTGCGCAAAGGGGGGAGGAGCCCAGGAGTAAAAGTAGGAAGGACGAAGGGAGGGGAAAGGAAAGTTAATAGAAGGAAAGGCGGGTGGGAGAGAAAGAGAAAGAAAGAGGGAAGGAAGGGGGGAAGAGAAGTGGAAAGGAGGGAGACCGAGGCGGGGGAGAAGCGTCTGGAGAGTTGCTCCGAAGTTTGGGGGGCCGCGGGGGTGGGCGCGCGTCCCAGGAGGCGGAGGCCAGCCCGGGCTGGGAGCCGCGCCGCGGCCCGGGGGCGGTAGGCGGACCGCGGCTCCTAGGATGTGGAAAGGGGACGGCGGCGCAGGGGGAGGAGACCCGCACGGCTAGGGCAGCGCGCAGGGGGAGGGGAGCGGGCCGGAGGCGGGCGAGGGGGGCTGCGATCCCGCGCGCCGCGAACATGGCCTCCTTCCCCGCAGGCCCCGCCGAGCCCCCGGCCGGGGAGGGCGGCGCGCCCCCGCCGCCGGAGAGCAGAGGCAGGAGGAGGAGGACGAAGGCGCTGCCGAGGAGGCGCGCCAACTTCTGCCAACTTCGGCGCCCGCCCCGTCGCCGCAGGCTCCTCCGGCCGAGAGCCAGAGGACGGCGGCGGAGCAGGAGGAGGAGGATCGGGTTTGGCGACGGCTGCTGCGTCCTCTCCAAGCGCGGGGCTGGCCTCCGCCGCGCCCGATCCTCCGCGCTCGCCGCGCTTCTCGGCGGAGCAGGTCTCGTGCGGGTGCGAGGCGCTGCTGCAGGCGGGTGACCCCGGCCGGCTGGGCCGCTTCCTGGGCTCGCTGCCACCCGACGCCGAGGCGCCGTGCCTGGAGGCGCAGGCGGGCGAGAGCCTGGCCAAGGCGCGCGCGCTGCTGGCCTTCCAGTGCGGCGACTTTGCCGAGCTCTACCGCCTGGTGCAGAGCCGGCGATGGGATGTGGGAGGGAGCTCGCTCGCCGCCCCGCGTGTGCCTATGTGGGGCACGTTACAGCCCCGTGACGTCAGCGCCACGCAGGCAGCCAGGCAGGCAGACGGCGAGAGCCCCGCGCTGGGCGGCCTCTCCTCGCCGCCGCCGCCCCGCCTCTCGCCGCCCGACTCGCCCGCCTCCCTCCCACGGCACACCAGGCAACGTCTCGCGGCACACTAGTGTGCCGCGGAACACCGGTTGGGAAACACTGAACTAAGATATGGGAAATATTTCCAAAGGCTAATCACTACCAGAATCAGAATTCCGAGTTCTTGTTTTGCCAATTCCTGGGCATAGGTGCTCAGGGCAGATCCAGCACCTTACCCCCCTGTGCATTAGTGGAAAATCCTTCCACTTGCGCACAAAGGGATGATACAAAGCCACTATTTGATTGAGCAAAATCACGCAAACATGTGGGCTCCTGGACATGAAGTTTCCTGCTGCAGCACACTAAGCTGTAACCAAGGTTTGTTCTGAAAGGATCCTGTCCCTTAAACTACAGCAATTCTTTAAGCGCATGAAGAGCAATGTCACTGCATCTCATAGAACAACTAGATATCTATGTACTGTACTTAGTTTCATTGATCTCCTGCTCTATATCCAAACATTCTCTGGGCAGGCAACAATGATATTCAATAAGACAAAGTAATCTCATTTAAAGTCACAGCAAAGCACAATAAAAGCAGGACGTGAACAGTTTCACATTAAGCAGGCCAAAGCTCCAAACAAACAGGCAGATTAAACAGTGGATGGGAAGGCATTCCAGAGCAGGGATGCTGCCAGGGGAAAGGATTGCCTACGTGTAATTCCCAAGGTTAGGACATTAAGGAGAGCCTCCATAGAGGATCTGAACTCCCTGGACTGCCACATACTGGAAGAGGATTTCCCTCATGCAAGTAATCCAGGGCTTTTTATGCCATTTGTAAAACTTTGAATTCAGAGTGGAAATGGATTGGAAACAACTGCAAATATTTAAGAACTGGAGAAAGATTATTCTGACTGGAGACTCTGCTCAAGAGATGAACCACCACATTTCGGACTAGCTGCAATTTCCAAGTGGTCTTCAAGGGCAGCCCTGCATAGTATGTATGGCAGGAATAAAAATGAAAGGTTATCAGAGCATGGATTACTGAGGCCAAGCTATTCCTGTAGCTTCGTCATAGTGCCTTATTCAGTTGCTACATTTTACCTCCACCTTGCCCCCAGCTGAGTTCAAGCTGGCATAAATGAGATGTTCTCATTTCATCCTTTAACGTAAGGCTGAGAGGTGGTGAAATCCAACAAGAGCTTTGGATTAAGGCATCAGCTAATGAAAAGGGTGAGGGGATTTCTGTTGATTCCACTGTCTTCATGTAGACTTGCATACCACTTCCCCCCCCCTGTTCTGGAGGGCCCCCAACAATCTGGAACAGATTTTCAGAAAACACTTTCGCCTGCAGGTAGCAGGGGGCGGGGAATTGCCTGCTCTCCTCTTTTGCTGGTGGACACACCTCTGCTAAATCAAGAGCTCTTCTGTGAGCGCATGAGCAACATATGGATTCCACCCAGTGATATGCAACCCAAAGAGCTTTGTGGATGAGCAGAGACTGAACTCCAGGTCTCCCCAGTCCAAGTCCAACCCACAACCCTCACTATTCCTAAACCATCAGTGGAATAGTCAGAATCCAAGTGACAGGGATAGGATGGGGAAACCTCAACACTGAACCAACGTACAGAAATAATGTACCTGGTTCAGGAGCATGGGTTCAGTTCCTAGAGGCTGGCTATAAGATGGGCTGGATGCAGATTACTCAGAACCCAAGGCAAAGTCCTAACACATAGGTATTATATGCTACATGACTGGGTTCTAGCATGTGAGTATGAGACAGTGGCTAAGAATGTGATCAAATCCTACCTGAGCCACAAATTTACCGCATACCCTTAGACAAGCCACTATTCTGTCAGGTCAGCTTACCTTCTAAAACAGGGGCATAAAACTGGCCTATCTTCCAAGGCCACCAAAGGATTACTGAGATTACATTAAGCTCCTTTGAACACATTTTTTAAATAAAAAAAAAGATATACTTGAAATATACATTTGAAAGGTAATGCAAAGTATTATCATATGCTGCCTCAACAGACTTCATTATAGCTGCTACATTATGTCTCAGGAAAAGGCCTGGCAAATGTTAATTCCTAAGAATTATCCTGCAATGCTCTGCTCTCTCACTAGGGTGATCCTTCTGCCTTTAGCGGACACTGATAGGTCAACACTACCGCAACAGCACTTTCTAAGACTATACTGCTATTAATACACATTTGCTTCACTACATCTGCCAGGCTCATTCCTGTAGAAAAGTCATTTGTTCAGTTTTAATCCCGTTTAAATACAGATATGGGAGCCTTCTACTTTAATTTTATTGTGACTGCTGGCTAGAATCTATTGAAGGGAAATTTAATGCAATTTTAAAATTTAAGATTCCATTACACTGCTTCTTTTAGACTATCTGCTCATAATACCCCCCTCTTGCCTTCCGGGCTGTTATTGAGCCGCAGTCCCATAATTAAATGTCATTTAATATTCCATTATGACCTCTAACTTCCTGGTGATATGCAGTAAACGTTACACATGCACCTACAGCGGCATTCTTACTAGTTATTAACAGCTCTGGACAAGTCATTTTCTTTCTATTCCATTTGTTCACTCTGTGCTCCACCTAATTACTCCCTTGCTTGAATTGTTGCTGCATTTGACTCTTCTTTTGCTCTAGAGCCATCTACTGCTGGGCAGGGAGCAAGTGTTGCTTACTTCTCAATGCAAACTCATCTGCTGGGTTAGGCAAGCTGGCCAGTATCTTGGCTGGCAGCAGCAAAGCCAGTTCACTTCCTTTAGGCATACCCAGCTGGCATGTGACAGTTAAAGTTATTTCCACTTAGGATTGTCATTTCCACTCAAAGTGTACGTTCTCAATGGGATTGTCCCAACACAGCTGACTGGCCCTTTGGAACCCTTTGTAAATGTTTAACTGACAAATGCTCCTTCTCTGTGGATAATGAAGCGGTGCAGTCCCCGAGCCAAGATAAGAGAGAGAGAGAGAGAGAGAGAGAGAGAGAGAGAACGCAAAGGCTCAGAGAAGCATGCAACCCAACTGAGGAAAAGCTCAGTCAGTCTCTTTATACACTCTTTGTAAACCCTTCCTCAGCCCATCTCTTAATTTTCCCAGCTGCATTATAACCCTTAAAGTCTCTCAATAACCAGCTTATGAGCAACTAGTGGCATTATTTAGGCTGAGTCCATACTTGTTATTATTTCCCATAGTAGGGCTAGGTTGTGTGATGTCCTTCAGGTGTTGCTGGATTCCAGCTCCCATCAGCCTCAGTCAGCATGTCCAACAACATCAAGAGGAAAGATGTTGTGCACTCTTATCCTACACCTTTCTCTATGAAGGGAAGATTCATATTAGAAGGAAAAATAAAATGAGATCTGGTGAAGTGCTGGCAGCAGCAGGAGAAGAT